CAAGACAACAAAAAAAAACATGCACAAACAATCATGACCACCGCAAAACAAAACTTCAATCCAAAAGGAACCATGTCCCTTTCCTACTTCATGCACTCGCTCACTCTTTCATTCTCTTACAATAAAACTTGTCAAGGCGACCACTCGGATAAGGTGACCACCTGTCCCAGAAGACCACTGCAACCAGGATCAAGGGATGCTATTTCCAGTCAAATGACCCTGGATAAGGAGACCACCTGGCAACAGAGACCACTTTTTGAAGGTCCCTTCAGCAGTGGTCTCTGTTGCCAGGTTTTACGGTACTCGCACTATCACAGGACAAAGATGAACCACACCACAGGAGCAAGACTTGACTCCGACGGACACTGATGTAGGTCGTGTTCCGACAATAAATGTCTGTCTGTTTGTACAAAACCGGACGCCAATATGTCTGTCTGTTTGTCCGTCTCTTTCCCCATCTGTGTGTGTGTTCGTGTGTTCGTGTCTGTCTGTCTGTCTGTCTGTCTGCGTCTCTTTCTTTGCCTCTGTCTCTCTCTTACACACACACACACACACACACACACACACACACACACACACGCACACACGCACGCACGCATCCACACGCACAAGCAGACACACGCACGCACTCATTCTCTTTCTCTCTCTCTCTCTCTCTCTCTCTCTCTCTCTCTCTCTCTCTCTCTCTCTCTCTCTTTGCCTCTGTCTCTCTCTTACACACACACACACACACACACACACACACACACACACACACACACACACACACACACACACACACACACACACACACACACACACTCACACAACCCTACCTCTTTCTCTAAAGCTCTCTTGCGCACTTTCAGCTCATTGACAGCTGCAGTGACATCAGCCTTCGGAGCACCACTTTTCTTCAATGACTGCACAAGATCACCCTGTCGAAATCACCGCAAAACACAGAAAGACAACCCAGAGTATACCAGGAGTCCAAAAATAAGTAGAGCTCAAAGGAATATTCAAATTATTCGAATACCGGTATTCAAAATATTCAGGACGAAAAATAAATGTTCATCAAAGTAGAATATGCGCTAATGTACAGAAACTTGGCTTCTTGGTATTGAATAAGCTTAGGGGTCGTGGCAAACATTTTTGTCGTCCCTGAAATGAACATCATCCGTGGGGGGGGGGGGGGGGGAGGAGCGAGCCAAAATCGCAAGTCGAAGGACACTGTACACTATTATGGACAACGTACATGCATGCGATTTTCGTCGTCCAGCATAGCAAGCTGCGTTTGTTTCAGAGGGAGGGGAGGGGGTCTGAGCACGAAACGAACGATGTTCATTAGGGTTGGTTCACATAAGCAAAATCGGCGCCGCAAGACATCGCAAGACATCGGCGGTGAGCCAGCTCCCGATCCGTTGCGCATACGGTTCGAGTACCAAATCTACTACAAAGTAGTACAGAATGTGTCCAAATGCTACGACAGGTTTGCCAATTGAAGCATGAATTCTTTGTTTCTTCAGTAATTCAAGGTCTTTCGGTGATGGCCACTCGGTGCTACCTTTTACTGGAGATCAGGAAACTACTTCTACACATGTTATTGCAGTCTAGTAAGCAATGGTGTAGAAATTGTGCATGCAAACGTTGATGAAGTCGCAAGAACTTGCCAATGTATCCATCGTATTTTTTATTTGTTTCAATTGTATTTGCCTCATAAGTTGCACAACAGGAAAAGCAGATCATTCGAAAAGGACGGGTTGGTATGCCGACTTATTTTCCACCTTGAAGCGATTAGGCCACACGTTTTTATTTCTATGTTTCTCGTCACCTGAAAATCTAAAAACATATGCGAGAGGTGGAAAAAAATAAAAAATGACCGAAAAATAAAAAAAGTTTATCAGACCTTTGTTCACACTAAAATCCGCCAATACACCATGCAAAATAGCATCCATAGTTAGCAACTAGTATGTGGTAGGAGCTTCTGTCACAATCTGTGCATGTGCAGCTAGATTGCGCACAATAATTGGTGACCTCGCATCATGTGTCGCGCAGGCCAGGCCACATTATGTACATGTGCATGAGTATGCTGGTCCCCACATGCACAGTCAGTGCAGCACATTTTTTCTTTTTTTCCTCCAGACTCCTGAATCGTATGCGCGCGGGTGACGAGAAACATAGATATAAAAACGTGTGGCCTTACAAGAATGGCGAACGAACCTCGTCTCTAGCTTCAATTTAGGAAAATTTAGGACGAGCCTTGGTTTGAAATTTTGACAAAGTCTGGCTTCCGGCAGCCGGCGATCACCGGCGCAAACGGTTCACAAACCACTTTTGGTCAAAATCGTACGGGATCGGTGCCGGGGCAGATCGCAAGAGTTGGGCACTGTCCAACTTTGCCGGCGGTCCCTTGCGATATTTTACCGTATGATTTTGTTACGACTGCACTGGTTCACATAATCGTAATGCGCCGGGAGAGGTTGCAAGAGGCCCACTCCCGTTGACTCCCGGCGCGTACCGGCGATATGTGAACCAACCCTTACAGGAACGACAAAAAAAAACCTTTTGCGACGACCCCAAATATGTGGTACATGAGTAGACTTGCCTCCTTGCATGATGTGTTACATGACCATGTTACTCGTACACATCAATGGCAAATCAAATGATAACACTGTCCTTTTCACATGTCTCTCCGCTAATACGGGTACACGCCAGTTGGTGGTCTATGGTTACCATGGATACAACAAGGTACCCATGGATATTGTATGGTTTAGAAATTAGAATATTCGGAATGCTCTTCGGTTCACATGTATTCGGAAAAAGAAGATTCGTTCGTTTCACCGGCCTACAGTGAAGTAAGGATACAGGACTGGTCTACCCTCGTTAGTGGACAACCCAGGGGGTTTCAAAATTGTGTGTCTCCTAACGAGCATGATCTACAAGTATTATCCGGACGTGAATGTAGGCGTTTCAGGCGTCAGGGGGATTTTTGATCGTTGCCTACTACAGTCGACCATCCTTATAACGATAACCTCTATAACGATAACCTCTATAACGATATTACCCTTATAACGATATTTTTCTGCCAAACCAAATCACTCCATTGACTTTTGTATACAATGCCTTACCTCTATAACAATATTGCTATAACGATATTACCTCTATAACGATATAAAATGGGCTGACCAATCGACATTTTCCATTCTATAACAATATCTAGCAGGGAATATGTAGAACCCACTATCCAGGTGGCAAGCTTCACTTGACAAACCGCTGGGACATGACGAAATGCAATGGGGGCACCAGCGGGCACCTTGCTGTGTACATAATTTGCATGTGCATGTACGTCAGTTTGTATGATATGAAGGGTGTAAAAAATGAACAAAATCCATGCATTATGACGTATGTGTATGAAATGAACCAGTTGCCCCTATAACAATAATTATTACCCTTAAAACAATATTCCTTGGTCTGCCGCAAATATCGTTATAAGGGTAGGTCGACTGTACTTGTAATGAGGGTTGTCTTGTAACCCGTGTCGTCCGTCTAACGAGAGGGTTGACCCGTATGCAAGTGTGATCCTGGGTTAGTGAGAGACACCTTGCCTTGCCCGCACCACACCCAGTACGCATGAACAACCTCTAGTACCACCACACCGGGTTTTGATACTGTAAAACATAAAAAATTCGGTGTAACTTTAATTTCGGTGATTTCGTTAGAGAAACCAGGCACTTAAATTTAGATCACACCTACAGTGCATTTCAAAACTATAGACGCGTAGGGTTTTTGAAATATTTCAAATTTGGCTGGAACTTTTTGAGAATAGTTTTCGGAATATTGCTCAGGATCGCTCCACAATTACTCTCATATAGTTTCTAAAGGATTGGATAACAGACGCCCAATTTGGAAAAATTTATGCACAAAGTGATTACAGATTTTATGTGGTATAGATGCTGGCATAACGGTTTTTGCCTAGGTACGCGTCTATAGTTTTGAAATGGACTGTAAAAGGCACTAGAGTATGCAATGTATGTGAAGGGAAAGCTGGTCACCTAATTCTAAATTACACCTGAAACCTGGCAGGTCCCTGACACCGAAATTTTAGCACACCTAAAATTCGATGTTATGCAGTAGATGATATGCCAAATAACGTGCAACTAGACTTGGGACGGCATTGCAGAGAATTTGCATACAAATCATACTACAATGTCTACACGATGAGCCCCAAGTCAGCTCTGCAGGAGCACAAGTCACAGGTAACCGTACAACTTTGAACTCTGTAAGCAACTACTCTGCAATGCCCTCACAAGACTAGTTGCACGTTATTTGGCATACTAGTATCAAGAGTACATAACCCCAAGAGTGTGCAACTGCCTGCACAACCTCTATGCTGTGCTGCGACGGCAGAACTTCACATCACGTGACATTGTTCAAAAGGTTATGCTGGCAAACAGTGCAAAGTGACCACAAGAGAGTTGTACCCAAAGCTGGGCTGCGTACAACCCAGTATCTATCATGCACAGAGTGCACGGGTTCATCACGTGATGTGAAGTTCTGCCGTCGCAGACCCCATAGCTGGAGTTGCACACTCTTGGGGTCATGTACTCTTGCTAGTATCTATTTGCTCGAGTACACAGACACAAACTAGTAAACTACAGTTCAGCTCAATGAAATCCAGCCGTGTCACTCAACAACTCGCCGGGCGTTGCGCAGCCCTAGACCTGTGAACACTGGGCTGCGAAATGATGCAAGGCGCTAACTTGAGTGACGCCGCGACTGGATTTCATTGAGCAGCACTGTCTAAGTTCTGGGTGCTTAAACTCCGCTTCCGTACGGACGTTGGTTTCAAAGCAAACCGCGGGGAGAGTGTGGTGTTTGGTTTGCGCAGTGCACGGACTGCACCAGCATGATGTAATGAAGGCAGCACACCGTGCGTCTGGCCCATGTAAAGACTAAGTAGATCACAGTCAGGGCATAGCTTAAGGATTTCATTTAGCTCGGACAAATGTCCTTCCGTTTTGAAATCTGTCCGGACATGCCCGGACATTTTCCACAACACATTTTCAGGGTGTTTCTTCTTTTTTTAGTAGTAGTACTGAAGTATATTCACAATGACTCATTATGTGGACGTATCTGAATTGACTGTAGCAACAACGCGTTGCTACAGGCGGATCAAGTATATAATAATAGTGAAGTCTACGCCTGAGACGACAGTATACGTGTTAGTTGTACGATATGCAAGTGGCATTTGGCACGAAGCTCCGAAGAAAGCCCAACTCTGCATAAAAAGGTCGAAAGGTCGCTGCTCTTTTTTTTACTTTTTTGACCGGACACTATGTTCGGTGAAATTGAAAACGTCCAGTCAGTGGCCGAAAATGGCCGGATAATGTCCGATGTCCGGCCGTTAATCTATGCCCTGACAGTTGCATACGCTTGTTCATGTACTTTTGGTCTCAGATTGAAAATGTCTTTGACACTGGGATGTGCTCCTTTGTTGCACGCCAATGGTACTGCACCATAGCCTGCTGCTCGAAGCAGCCCTTGAGTTCGTTTCGCGTACATGTAGGATACGTCCACTGATATCCAAACATATCAATTACGTCAATTATTCAGACGATAGGCCCAGCAGGCCAGGCCGGAATAGTGGTGATTTTTTTCTTTTTCAAATGCAGCAAAGGGACCATCGAATGACGTTTTCGTGACTGGTACTATAATGAATGGATTGGCTGCGGTGGAGTCTACACATCCTGACAAACGTTCTAATGTGTTTATGTATACGTTGAGAGTAACAGGAGATGGCCAGGCAACTCGACATGCTCGTGACCATACGAAATATGTACAGCACAAACAGAACCTGGTTTACCTGCTCTTTCACGGCAGCGCGCAGCGCATCCACTGGATCTTCCGACGCGGACGCCATTGCTCTAGAATCCACTGTCTCGCCTACGAGTTCCAACACTAAAACCCAAGAGGCTGCTTCATGCACAATTCACCAAAACCATCAAGTATTGGGCTTCAACAAGAACAAAGAAATTAAAAATCCAAATTTCGGGCTCGTGACGAAAAAATGATTCGACATCGACACCATAACAGTATCCATGGTGATTCGCGGTGAATGACGTCGTGATGAATCATGCACTGGCTGGCGTCGTCATCTACTCGAGTAGTACGACGAGTACTCATCTTCGTCTCACTCTGATTGGTGGAATCATTGCCTGCAATGCCTGGCCCTTTCTTGGCCGCTTACCGTATTTCCACAAATAGTAGGCCGGTCTACTATTTTTTCAACCTTGTCCTAACCCGGCCTTATAATCGAGGACGGTCTTGTATTATATTCGAGGACGGTCTTTTATTCTTTCAACCCAGTTTGACCCCGGTCTTCTATTTCTCGCCACACAGTTTTACCCTCGTTCTTCCATTTTCTTCTACACAGTTTGAGCACGGTCTTCTATTTTTTTCCACAGCTTGATAATTGAGCACGGTCTTCTATTTTTAACACAAGAACAAAGACTCATTTAGTAGGCCCGGTCTTCTAATCGGAGACGGTCTTTTATTTTTTCAATCACCCCCTGCCCCGGCCTTGTATACGAGGAAGGCGTTGTATACGAGGACGGCCTTTTATTGGCGGAAATACGGTATATTCAAGAGTTCAATTTCATAACCCCCATGAACTCTTGCGATCATGGTTATTGGGGATGTAAATTACCTGAAATGGACTCGGATGGAGAGCCAATAATTAATTTATACAAAAGAGAAAGGACCAAGGAACTACAAGTTAGTGGACGTATTAAACTAACTGTAGTTCCTTGGTCCTTTCCGTGTCTTGTGTATACTACGTATACCTGAAACATCATGATAAGTTGATAACAGTGTACATGTACATGTACACTGTATTCATGGTATTGGTGAACGAAAGGGTTCTTTCGTTATTATTCATGGTCATCCGGTGACCATTCTCTGCGGCTTGGTAACAAAATTCGTCTCTCTTGGAGTGGCAATGAAATGCTGCTCGATTCATTGCCGGTGCCTGGTGGTGGTTGAATGCGTTGGATACCCGGCAAGTGTCTTCTCATGATGCGGTCTTCCACGATGCCACAATGCCGCGTCGCGGGCACGCACAGTTCTCAGCGTTGTGCGGCAAGACCAGTGCATAACCAACTCAAAAGGCCAGTCCAAAACCTAGTCCGTAAAACCAAATCAAGACAAATGTGATCTCATGGGTTGGGGTCAGGGAGTCGTCAAATACAACGCCAACGGCCCGTATTTGACCACTCACTGGTTGGGGTGCTAAGGCCTGAGCGTGCACTTTGTGACATTCCCAACTTTAATTGACCCCCCCCCCCTCCCCGGGAGGCCCTGATGCAGTATGCCGCATGAATGCATAAAATAATTATACAATCAATAGATCAGGTTCTTACATCGGAACTGGATCATGATACTGGCAATCCATTTCTTGCACATGCACGCACGCACTTACATGCATAATCCAATAGGGAACTGCCTCTCTGTACCTAAAATTTCTGTTCACCTAACCTGGCCTGTTGCCCTCATACCGAAAATATTGAGCACCGAAAATTTCTGAAATTAGACTTTAGTACTCGTAATTTCCTCATGTTAACCCTTTGCCGGTCTAACTCAATGTATGTGAGGGGTGGTCACGCAAATACATGTACACACAACCTGCAATAACTCAAGAACCATGTGATGTAGGTATGGGTAAACCATATATTTTCAAAATCTGTATGCCTGAACGCGTCCAGAAAATTCAAATATGACTAGGTCCAGGCAAGGATAGGGCCCATGGTAGCCCTTCAAGTTGAGAGAAAATACAATTGCGAATGAAATACACGAATATCACAGCACGAAGGGCATACCAAGTTCGTGATGGAGCTGAAGTCGTACGATAAACAATCAGGTAAGGGCTACGTCTTTACAAGAAATGTAGGCTCTCTACAATACCGCCATTGAACACCAACACCTCGCCATCGGCGATACGCCAGCAGCAGCAATTCCCATTGCACAATATCGCAGTTTCGGTTTGTTCATCTCAGCGCTGCTCGCGTCAGATTCACTCTCGCTCAGATGAGTACTCAGGCGCGAGCTTACGCATGCCGTGATTCTCACGGCCAGGCGAATCAGCTGATCGCACCTGACGAGTCCTTGTGACAGTCTCTGTCGCCGTGTCGGCAGCAAGAAGGCTTCCTCTCTGTTTGGAGAATTTTGTTTCTTCATTCGTCGACGATATATTTTTGAACTAGCAGGACTCAACGGAGCTCTTTTTCTCAACACACTACACTGCAAAACCTCCCGGGACATCCAGCCTGGACTGGTGATGTTACTGCTCTCAGAGCGCTTGTCAAACACGGCCCCAAGAGATGCACTCTCATTCTTGAAATGCGCGCATGGCGGATGGTCGTCTTTTCCAATTTCAACAAACTTCAGTCGATCGATACGGCAAAAATTTGTACGGTAAGCATGGTTGTTTTGCACATCGTCAGAAAGCCTTGGACCTCAGCTACGCGTAGAGCGCCATTTTAGCTGTCTCCTAGCAACAAGACCCCAAAAAAATGAGGGCCAAACGTACCGATACTATAGTATCGGTACGCTTATGGTAGACCGGTAAAGGGTTAAAGGGGAAGTATACCCTAAAATCAAATTTTCACCAGTTGTAGTCTTCGGGGTGCTGAGTCGAATGGTCTTGGTCCGAGGAAGCTGATACGCTCCCTTCCTCCTTTATTCCCAATCGAACTCGCGCACTTCCACCGAAACTGGGTGACTGCGCCCTACTAGATGGGGATTTGTATGCAAAATGTCACTAAAAGCGCCATTTCGTTCTTATGAAAGCACGGATGACCGCCATTGGCCCATAGGTTGTAGTCTTTTGGACGCTGAGTCGACTGGTTTTGGTCCGAAAAGGCTGCGATGCAGCGTTCCTCCTTTATTCCCAATCGAACATGGTCGAACAAGCGGTCACGTGCTCCTGCGTACACCAGTCACCTGGTCACCGTGCCTGCAGGGTATGTGAAAGTTGTCGCCTGCTGGCGCGGTGACCAGGTGATTTGGGCACCCAGGAGCACGTGACCACTTGTTCAACCATGTTCGATTGGGAATAAAGGAGGAACGCTGCATCGCAGCCTTTTCGGACCAAAACCAGTCGACTCAGCGTCCAAAAGACTACAACCTATGGGCCAATGGCGGTCATCCGTGCTTTCATAAGAACGAAATGGTGCTTTTAGTGACATTTTGCATACAAATCCCCATCTAGTAGGGCGCAGTCACCCAGTTTCGGTGGAAGTGCGCGAGTTCGATTGGGATTCAAGTAGGAAGGGAGCGTCTCAGCTTCCTCGGACCAAGACCATTCGACTTAGCACCCAGAAGACTACAACTGGTGAAAATTTGATTTCAGGGTATACTTCCCCTTTAAATCATGAGAAAAACAAGCCCAGACTTGAGCATACTTAGACACGCGTTGATAAGCAGGGAGCATATTGTACTACTCCCTGCTTATAAGACCAAGGACTGGGACAATCAGGGGCTGGCTTCAGATGGGTAGCTGCGAGCAGGGAGTAGTACAATACAGTATTGTACTACTCCCTGGCTGCGAGTTCTGCGTTCATTTATTTCTCAAATGAACACAGTGGTAAATGTTCGTGACTTCCTTCCAAACATTTTTTAAAGCAACATCAGAAGCTAAGAACAGAAACTGGAAACTGCGAAAGGGCAAAAGAAATCCTTGCAGGCTCAAGAGGCAAAGTCGAAAAACACAGACACACTCGCCTACAACCCATGGTTCATGTTGGCCGTTCACATACTAGTACCGTAAAGTTGTGTATAAAAGCCACGGCTTACGCAACATTTTTGGGGAAATTTTGCAGGCTTCTACACGAGACAGACTTCTATACAAGACAGGTATTTCTATGTATGTCAACATGAAAACCAGGCTTATGTGCCGACAGTGCAACTCAAAAAATCAGGCTTCTAAGACAGGCTTTTATACAGGACACTACGGTATAAATAACCAATGGGGCCTAAGATAACCTTGGGGGCTAGAGTAGGGCTAGTTTAGCCCGGGGAGAGTTCCACAAGCCCGCCTAACTCAGGTAAACACACACACACACACACTCGCACACTCTTAAGGTGACTGGATGGCAGATCTAGTGCTCCCTAGGGCACAGGGAGTACTAGTGATGGGCGAGCACTCACTTTCTCTCACGTAAACACGTCCACAGCGTAGCCCAAGCAGCACAGCAACACCAGCTTACGTGAGCTGGAAACTTGAACCGCACAAGAGTTCCAACACTTTTCCACAAGCGCTTTCACTGTCTTCTCATCAGATGGAGAACGGGAAAAAGAAACTGGGCAAGCACGATGTATTATAAAGTTTTAAACAGCAGAGGTGTGACTTGTGAGATCAACGGCGCTAAGATTAAAGAAGAGTGGCCAGAAACAACGCGGTACAATGCACAGCCTCAGACATGTACAGTGCAGCTCAACGAAATCCAGTCGAGTTTCTCAAGTACGTGCCGGGCGTTGCGCAGCCCTAGCTAGACCTGCGAAGCGAAAAGGTGCACGGCGCCAACTTGACTCTCGCGACTGGATTTCATTGAGCAGTACTAGCACTGTACACTGCACAGCCTCGGGCATGTACAGTGCTACAGTCCATTCATCGGAAACTGGCCCGCTGACTTTTGAAAGTCGGATTTGGGCCGAATTGAGGATCAAAAACCCACTTTAAATCTCAAAAATCTGGGTTTTGGATCTGCTTCTCCATACATTTTGCCATGGCATACCTGTCCTAATTTTGTAAAACCTGGCTGAATTTCTATTTCCCTGTTCTTGGACTTTTCTGCCCTCAAATGTGGCAAGGAGTAATTGCACGGGTCACACAATGCAGGATGTACTGTTGTTTTCACGATATCTACAACTATGTGAGAGAGACACCAAAAAGTTAGGGTGCCAGTTTCCAATGAATGGACTGTAGGACTGCTCAATGAAATCCAGTCGAGTTTCACAATTATGCGCCGAGCGTCGCGCGGAGCTAGACCTGCGAACACTGGGCTGTGAAAAAAGGTGCACGGCGCCAACTTGACTCTCGAGACTGGATTTCATTGAGCAGCACACAGTACAAGGAATAACAGAACAAGGCGCAAGTGTGAAGAAACAAAACAAGCGCGTGCGACGTATAGCAGCAACAACAACAGACAACCAAGGGAGAAAACTACCGACGTGCCACAAAACAGCCCAAGGTGAATTGGATTTGTATTTTGTCTGCAGAGAACAGGCTGCCTGATGTGAACAAAAGAAGTTTCTACAGCACTCAATAATCTAGCACTATGCACCATATTTTCTGGAATTAGGACCGGTCTGTTATTACCGGCTGTCTGAAATAAGCGCCACATCATTTTCAGGTTTTTGTGTACTAATATTTTTCAAAAGCTCGATGGACTTCTCGTGTGCTCTGGATGGCAGTCGTGAGTCAGTCCCTTGACACTGAAACTAACAAAGGTGGCAGGTGCAACACTACACCTTCAAGCAACAGACCCTGATGGTAACAACCCCAGCCACTATCTGGTATACATCATCGTGACATGTAAGTGCACCCACCAACCACACTAGCTGGCCACACACACCCACACACACGTACACACACACACACGTACACGCAAACACACACACACCAACAGCCTTCAAAATTCAACTCACCAGAAGAGGACACCTGTACATGTACACATAAAATTTCCCGCAGCACCCTGCAGATCCATCCACTACATCTAGATGACAGCTGCACGCAACAGGATGATTGTCAGACTGGCACTTGTGCCCGTGGTTGTGAGACTTATCCACTCACCCCCACCGTCAGGCGCTGGCTCTGCCGCTAGGGTTTACCGGACCTGGACACGTTGCCACAGCACACCATCAGCAAAGCGACACAATGGTGCCTGTATTGCATAAGCGGTGTCCAACGACACGAGATTCAGACAAGGCTTTCAAAACTCACCAGTAAATACGTACCGCATACCTGACAAGGCGCAGTGTGAATCCCTCCACCGCATTCAGTCCCAGTCCACGGCACGATCGGTGGACAGGATGCCGCCACTCGCACGCAGTAGTGCCCAGATTGCATACAAGTACAGTGCTCACCGACGAGAGGCTGTTGTGTGCGTTCACCCCATTCAGTCCCCAGCACGACTGCCGGACAGGATGCCGCCACTCCCACGCCGTGCTCACCGACAAGAGACTGTTGTGTGCAACTCCCCGCTGCGTACAGGACACCCAGCGGGGAGACGCACACCCTATCACTATCACTACAACGGTCAGATCCAGAAATCCAGCACTAGAGGATTTCAGCCCTTCACTGGAGTCTGCTAGGCAAAGAGAGTCTCACGGCACTGCACTCTAGCATTCAAGGAAAGCAAGATTAGGTCTGTTAGTGCTGCTAGTGCTGTAAGTGAGTTCGAGGATCCTTGTGGTACAGTCAGACCTCGCACAACCGCACACATCCGTTTTCCATAAAAATATCCGGATAGGCGAGGGAACCGGATAATCGAACACACATACTGTATGTGTACATGGCATATGCTGTAAATCGGTAACCGACGATTTTCTTCCAGATGGCGAGGGATACGGGTAAAAGAGGACCGAATGAGCGAGGTCTGACTGTAGTGGGAAAACGATCACCAACGCTATGGTAAGTCGTCATCCCAGCAGAGAACGTACAACATTCTCTTCAGACTCGGGAACTCAGGCCTCCCGTGAAAACCTACCCAGGCTGGTGGGTCGCAGCCTACACAGCGCCCACCCACTAGAAAACATATTAGCGTTAGTCGGTATTAGCCTATAGTGGCATCCTTGACAATGAGCTATTACTCGATTTCTCCACAGCTAACTGTTTTAATCTTGTTCGAAACACGACACTATTCATGAAGGCAAACAACGTTGACACTAACGAGATAGATAGATAGATAGATAGAGTGAGTGAGTGAGTGAGAGAGAGAGAGAGAGAGAGAGAGAGAGAGAGAGAGAGAGAGGGAGAGATAGAGACGCTTGACAGACACAATTCTTCATTCCGTCAAAAAAAATTACGAAACCCCAACGACATATTCTAGCTGATCGCGCCACACATAACCTCCCAAGAGTGTGTAACTCAAGATACCCTATCTATGGGGTCAGCCGACGGCGAAAACTCACATCACATGGTACACTGTTCCCGCTGTACATTTCCAGCTCGTTTCTAGCGAACAGCGGAGTAATAAACATAGCACGCCCTGACAGAAATTCACTGCGCCTGTGCAACTCCCAAGCTTTCAAACAAACAAAAAACCTTGCTGTGGGTTCGGTGCTAGGCAGCAAAGATGTAGATGAATTGCATACTCTGTTTAAAGTACTTTTGATAGCACCCTCCAAGCATGCTTGTGTGCCTATTCCGTTGATAACACCCAGTTAGGGGGGAGGTCCGTGTGATAATTATCCAATATCATACTTTATTAGGAAGTGCATTTAATTTAGGTTGTGTTCGCCTAGGGTCATCTGAGAATGGAGCAAGCACATGGAGCAGAGCGAGCAGTCAGTTCCGTCACGAACGCCATGGAGCACGCAGCTCGGAGCAGTTTCTGTGACGTTGACAAGGAAAGCATGGCGTCTGAGCTCATCCTTTCACCATTTTGCGGGAAGTTAAAGAAAATGACGTCAGAATCTCAAAACAAAAGGATGAGCGGCAGCAAAAAAAACAGAAACTGCTCTGCCTGCTAGACCCCAAGGCCTGGAGTAGCCAGAGCATGCTCCGTACAGGCGTACACTCGAGATCCAGTGCAGGTCAGGCGAACATGCGTGTTACAAGTGATGGCGTTCTAGTGTTGTACCAGACGAACGCACCCTTAGTTCCAACCCTACACTGTCCCCACAGGATACCGCGATTCCGCGGACGCGCAATTTTCCGCGTTTTCGAGAGATTTTGCATAAAACCCGCGTTATTCACGGGAATGTACAAGAAAATAGCACATGTTGTTGAAAATGTACTACAAAGTCGGACTGGTTCATGAGTTTGTACGACAAAGTTGTATACTTGCATGAAACTGCATGCTAAAGTTGTACGAATGACAGAGAACTCGTGCATAATGACCGCATTATACCGCATATTTGCCGCATAATGACCCGTTTTCGCCCGCATTATTATGCGCATAATAGAGAGGTTCCGCACTACGTAAAGTTGAGCAACTTTACGTTAGTGGGCGGGAAAAACCCGTGAATTCGCGAGTTTGCACTCCACTTACGGAAAATTGTCTACGGAGAGTACGTAGATAGGGCTCTGATAACGTAGCTGGTCCGTAAGTGGATTGGGGTACAAATTTATGACTCTCTCCCCAGGTCGATGTGGTCGTACACTGCCGCGTTCGGAGTTGCCAAGGGCAGCTATGTGATTTGAAAACTCCGTATGGCGGAACCCGATGCGCATGCAGTTTACGTAAGACTTTCCGTAGATCGACTACGTTTTTTACTAACGTAATTACGTTATGCGGAACCTCTCTTAATTTTAGGATTTCGTCCGCGTTATCCTGTGGGGACAGCCTCAGCTTCCCAACCCTCAGAACATAAAAACTGCATGAACAACAAAAGACACAAGTGCATCACTGCTCGCAATTCCATAATGCATAATTATATCGATGTTCTCTGACACGAAATTGGGGTCATGGGCCCTCACACCCTCGCTCTCCCTATAACAAAATATACTTCGTTTCTTGAAATATGGTGACAGTCCATGCATGCTGCATGGTGGTGACAGTCAATTTTTACTTCAGACTTTTCCCGTCCGCGTCTTTCCCTCAAACCAGTGAATATTTTTTGTAAAAGTTGATACTCAATCTGCGGACAGAACTGTTTCGTCCTTTGTGGACTCGCACTCATCAGCGCAGCACAGAGAAAATGAAACAAGTACAAAATGTAACTAATATACCGGTAGCCGACCCCTGAGCTGACTATTACACAGCATGCAGTCCTGATGGTCTTCTAGACATGAACACCACCATCAAGGGGAAAAAAACATCCATAGCTAAGGAATGTGGGACTTAAATAGGTTTTAGATTTCCGAGCAGGAGCCCGGCCTACCGTTCATTGTTACGGACATAATAATTATATACCTGCAAAATGTCTCGACAAGAAGCCTCCTTGTTAGGTCTCAGAAGTTACTCAATCCTCTGGCGTACACCGATGTCTTCTCAGCACGAGCTGAAGAATACATTTGCTCAGCTAACTGTACCGTGCCATGTAACACCAGAACTATAACACACGGAAATGTCAGTCTAAAACGTAATATCGAGTATCCTGCGAAGTACCAGCTTTGACCAACAAGAGGGAAAGCCAAAAAAAGGAGCTCAAACGATCCCCAGAAGGACCTGAGCAGAATGACTTTCCCGAAAATATTTTTCTAAAAGAGAAAAGTCAGGACGACCACCCTCATTTGTGACCTCATCTAGGGAGCAGAGCAATGCAAGGGTACCCCCTCGCGGGCACCAATGCTATCCCGCCATGTTGGATTCTGTGACGTAGTCGATTTCTGCGTGTGCGCAGGAAACGTGGTTCTCTTTGGCGTCCAACAAGAATAGCAGCCATTGGAGTGCTGAAGTGAAATTAGGCTCTGACGATCCAGGTTACGGATTGTGTTGAGCCGAAGATAATTTTACTTGTTCTTTAGTTCGTTTAGAACTTAGACTGCTGAAATGGGTGCCTTCGGTTCCTTATTCAAAGGCCTTTTTGGCAAGAAGGAAATGAGAATTTTGATGGTCGGTCTTGATGCCGCTGGAAAGACTACAATTTTGTACAAGCTGAAGCTTGGAGAGATTGTAACAACCATTCCCACAATCGGTATGTCGCGAGTTGTAGAACTGCAGTATGCTTGAGGATGTTGTTTGGAGAAGGAGATGTATCGCTAAGTTGCCGCAGGACTGTATCCATACTTCTAGACAAGTGCTATGTAATAGTTGGTGTTCGTTGTGCCGCCATTGTGCTACTGTGGTGTAGGATTCAATGTGGAAACAGTGGAATACAAGAACATCAGCTTCACTGTATGGGATGTCGGCGGTCAGGACAAGATCCGACCTCTGTGGCGTCATTATTTCCAGAACACGCAAGGTTAGTTTCGCCGTGATGTTGGCGCTTTTCCTTGAGTGTACATTGTGATTGCATGGGAAAGAAGACGTATGGATTTCGTGTGGAACCTCTGCACTGGAGACTTACACTGTAATTCTGGTGTGCATTTTTCTAGGTTTAATTTTCGTTGTGGACAGCAATGATAGAGAAAGAATCTCTGAGGCCCGCGATGAACTTAGCCGTATGTTGAACGAGGACGAGCTCCGGGACGCGGTATTGCTTGTGTTCGCCAACAAACAGGTAAGCGATTTATTTGTGCATGGTTTGAATGTCCCAGCTGAAGTTAGGTATTCGTTCCTTGTTTCGATTTTCGGTTTCCTGGTGGTGGGGTAGCTTTGTTATTTTTTTGCTGTTGCTTCGTATCATCAGCTCTTCTTGCTGACAGCTGCCCGCCAAACCTGTATGTGTGCGTGCGTACGTTTGTATTCCTCTGTGCTGCTGTGTGCGGCTGGTGAGAGCTTGGGAGAGGCCGTATTGGATCTTGGACATGCCGTGCCTTGGAAACGGACGTGTGGGTACGGCGGCTGGTGGCGGTGCGCTTAGCTGGAGTCAGTTCTGGTCATGAGATGCAGCAGAGCTAGTAGTACAGTAGTGGTGAAGTATCATGGATCTTGGACGATTCGAATCGGAGCATTTGGATGGCTGAGCAGATACCAGTGTGTTACCCAGCATTGTGCTCCAGTTGGATTGCTTTGAGTATTTAGGAAGCACCGGTGTCGCTTGCTGCATGGCTGAGGCTGAGAGGGTTACGTCTTCACTGGACCTGAGTATTCTGGTCATGTCCTGTTCGTAGGGGGTCGTGACCTGCACTGCAGTGCTTGCTGCACTTTCGCTGAGCTTTCAGAGCTGTTGCTGGAATGGTCTTGTCTACCAGGTCTACCGAGTGCGCGAAGTGGTGAAAGGGACCCGATCAGACCCTTGGGGAGTTCACTTTTCAGACTAGCTGCGTCAATGTCTTGCTTTGTATCGGCGATGTGGGTAGCACTCTGTTGCGGTGTGTGCCCTTTTTTGCTTTGTATCGGCGATGTGGGTAGCACTCTGTTGCGGTGTGTGCCCGTTCTCTCGTAACTGTTACTGTCACTGTCTTGGGAGAGCAGATGTCGTTGGCGTGAAGTGGTAGTTATCGGTAGTACTAAGTACAGTGGTTTTCAACTCTGCCTGTACTGTAGGCTGTAGACTCCGGAGATTTTCTGGGGTTGGCTTGTACCAGTCGGTGCGAATCGTGGCATTTGCTGCTTCGTGGCCATTTCATGTGTGTTATAAATTATTTGCAAACTTACTGTTACTAGAGGGAGTTCATGTAATTTAACATTAATGGATATTCATTTTTCTGATGTACTTGTTGAGTCACTCACCTCCTGTCTCACTCGTGAGGTCTGCATTCGACACTAAGCCGAACAGACATAATGGTGCCTTGTGGATGCGAAGGATAGCTTGTGTGTTTCTGAGTATTCAAGCGATGCTAACGCGGACCCGTAAATATTATTGTTATTACTAGTTGAGTTGCAGTTGATGTTTTGTGACCTTCGTGTGAAAGTTTTGTGGTGGCTTCTGCTTCAGTGGCATGATTGAGTGCAAAGTGACCACTTACGTGTACACTCCTGCCTTGTTCATCCGGGAAGTCTTGGGGCCAACGCGCTGCCCATAACTTTAACTCCGAATCACAAACATTTTGATGGGAAAGGCCGTAGATATGGCATATGATGTCACTATTTCCACAAAAGTGACAAAAGAGTAATATTTTCACTGAAACCCCGCCAAAGGGTGCCCGGTAGACCATAGTTATGTGCACTTTGCCGTCCGGATAGCCATGTATGAGTGTATGTGTCTTGCGTATAATATTGAGACACCATGTCAACTGTTGTGGGGTCTACTCGTTATTCCAGCGCATCTATCACAACAAACTTCCGCGATGAGACTTGGCCATTTCTTCCATTCGCGCCACATCTTGCCCTTCACTTCTGAAGGATCTTGAAATGTTGTTCTTATGTGCGTGTCGTCGGCTAACACCCGCCTACTGGTCAAATGTCCACTGGCTTGGTGGTCGTCACCTAGCGGCTGTACCTGAAGTGTAATCGAGTGTATCAACTTTCTTGGTGTATATTTGGAATGTGCTATTGCCGTTGAGTTTCCGAATGTAAACTTGGGACTTGCTGCACTGTGATATGAAGATTGCCTGAAACCAAGTCTTCTTCCCAGTTTGTTTAGCTTCTTGGTTGTGTGCTCCGATAATTTGGCACTTTAGCTTTACCAGTTTGCGTTGGTAGAGAGAGGGTTAGTACCATACGTTATGAAGGTCAAACTTAGATTTTGCAGTAGTCTTACGTGCGCTGCACGTGCTCATCTCTGAGTGTAGTGGTAGCGATCTTCTTTTTGCCAGTGTTGGTTCACGGGTTTGTAGGTGGCTTGGTATGCACAATAGAACTGTTGCGACGTCGATAACAACTCTGGCTATTTTTGATTGTTCGACTGCACTACGAGTTTCCATCTTGCAAACCGGGGTTGACATGGTACACTAAGGTGTGGCCAGCATTAGAGTGACATGAAAATGTTCTGTGCCTTCTTTCCTGTTGGCGGTAGTCCGCAGTCTTTGCCTTGTGTTGCTGCTTCTGCACTGACTGTGCCTGGGTAATCTATTTGTAGCGTTCTTGCGTCTGTACACAGCACAGGAAATTAGGCTCTTGCACGCATGCACAGGGACGTTTCGTTATAATAACTCTGCTTTCTTCAATTTCTGTTTGGGAATATCTGGGGGGTGGCTTTGCGTGCATGGACAGGGGTGCTGTTCGTTTGTATGTGTCCCGGTGTGCAGTCATCTGTGTGACTCTGCTGATAGTGGTTCTAGACCACTATCATCTCGGGAGTTCTGGATTGTGCTAATCCAGCTCACCAGGTTCTAGGAATGGGCTAAGAGGGTGTTTCAGAAAGAAGTTCCCTTTGTAGGGGTGTTTATTCGCCGAAGCTAATCTTGGTCAGTTGGGATTACCGGTCTTTGTTTTCCCAACTGATCTTTATTTCTAGAGCCTATCTCTCATGGTAGTGGTTGCGGTGGTGCCTGCTCTTTTTGCCCACCACACAGTCTTCTTCGGCCCGTTGTGCTTTGTACTAGCTTTGCTGGCACACTGCGCCTTAGTCGCTGGTACTGACGGGTTCATGGTATGGCTGCAGTTGAGCATGTTACTCTGGCACACTGTTGCTGCTGGGTTCTCCTTTGGCCACTTCGGGGCTGACTTTGTTTTTCTCCTGCTTGTGTTGCTGCCGCTGCTGTTCAGGATCTGCCCAATGCCATGAACGCGGCTGAGATCACGGATAAGCTCAGCCTACATCAGCTGCGCAACCGGACTTGGTACATTCAGGCCACTTGTGCCACCAGCGGTGACGGTCTTTATGAGGGTCTCGACTGGCTCTCCAATCAACTCAAGACCAAGCGATAAGATAGCTTATAAATTGTTGTTTGTTGGTTCTTGTCGTTGTAACTGGCGTTTGTGTGGTATCCTGTGTCGTCTCCTTTCTCATCTCTGCGATCTATCTTTCTATGTGTTATCGTGTTATCGTATCCGCTCACCGTATGCTACATTTCTCTCCCGCACTCATTGTACACATCCTGCCATGTTGTCCTGGCTGTAGACGTATTAATTTTATTTTGCGTGTATAAACTACCGATTTTTTTTGCATTATTGCGCAACGCTCCGCCCAATTCGATCTCAATGTACTTTTCCTTTGTTTGTTTTGCTGTTCATTTTTAGTACACTGTACATTGGATTTGGGCTGCTATGATCATAATGATAAAGATGGCGGATATTATGATGACAACTAGTGCAAGACAAGAACAATTTCAACAGGCTACATACTGATATGTATGTATGCCTTGATTGTGAGTTACCAGGTATGATGATGGCACACTGCAAGGTGGAGGGCACTTTCTGTCCGTATCACCGTTCCTTACAGTGTCTTTCGCCTGTATGTGCTGGTCATCATATCTGGTATACTGATGCTGAAGTACGCTAGATAGCCTGTAGTCATGGTAGTGGTGCACCAAACAACGGCGGTGTTGGTTTTCTGGCAGCGTGTTGGGATACCCTGTACGGATTGTCCTCGGGCTTGCCCCTTGCAAGCAACGTTCTTGGGCGCGCGACTCTACTGTAATCGTTTGCCTTCTTGTAGTGAAGCCGATGAGTGGTATGTGGGCTTCTTTCAATGTCTGCTCAATGACTTGTTCGTGTTTGCACGTCCTTGCATCAAGAGTATACAGTCAAACCACGTTAGGACGAACACCAAGAGTACATAAACCAGAGTGTGGAACTCCGTTACTCGGGATGGTTCCTGTGGGAGCGTAATTCGTGCACTACCGTACTCGTCTATGTCATTTCTGACGGCATGGTAAGCCACAGGTACGGTGAAAAGTTGAGTAACCAGTCACGGTGGTGCAGGTCCCTGAGTTTGTCCTGATTTCGGTTTTTTGATACGGATAGCCTGGTGACTTTACTTGTCGGTGGATGTACGCAGCGTACACAGTCACACAAAACACCGAAATCCTGAAACAGGACGCCTAGAATCAAGCAAACTTGGCTGATTTCCGGGCTATGAAACATGAAAATTTGAGCTGTACGGAAGTCGCGGCTGACCTCATCAGGGTGACGTAGTGCACGAACTGCGCTGTTTCAGATCTGATATGCACAGTTGCACATTCTGGTTTATGTACTCTTGCGAACACTGATAAGGCGAAATTTCCATTAGTACGAAATTATAAGGCCAATCGTATACGCGCGTATGGTTGGCCAGACATCATAAATTATCAAGTCAAAATCATTCGTTTACGACGAACCCTGTAGGGTGAACTTTTGTGAAGACGAACCAATTCAAGCATGATTTGAACGAAATGATGATCCTGTCCCAGTGAATTCCGTGCAGAGTTCTGCGGCGGGAAAATCTCTGTAACCCCGCCGATGTTTGTGTATGTGAGAAAAGGGAGAGAGTATGGGTGTAATGGTGTGGGCATGTATATGTGTGGATTTTGGCATTTAAAAAGGGTCGTCCGGGGTTACCGATTGTTTTTACAAAACGAAAAGTTTTAGTATTTTTCAGCCCCCACCCACCCACCTTTTCTGCAGGTAAAACGAATTCCAATAAAACATTGATGTCAATTTTCGACACCCAGAAGTAACTGGGCATTCTCCATCAGCATTCAATAATTATTTTCAAAACGAAACTCCATCAAACCCACCCACCCACAAACGAAAACATTTCGTTTTGAAAATAGTATTGGTAACCTTGGACGGTCCCTAAGTCCCCAGCTCTATTCTATATCATTCACGCCGGAACTGCTGCTGCATAGTCCCATTATGTTCTGGCTGCCCGTTTTGGATCCATCAGTGGCCTGATGATCGTAGTAATACGTGAAACTCAGAGTTGTAACAAAGCTTCCAATCTCTCTCTTGTGTAGTTTCTAAACCGAAATTACTCAATCTGCAGACAGAACTGTTTTGTCCGTTGTGGACTCATCAGCGCAGCACAGAGAAAACGAGGCCGAACCTGATCGATAGCAATGAAAAATAAATTTCCCAAAGCCAGATTGAAACCAGGCCCGAACGTACCAGGGCAGGGCACTTGTCGCAGAAGTTGAACAAAGACTCAAGCCCGATTCACAATACAACTTTCTGCGACGCGACACGCGATTTGCGACAGTTGCGACAAGAAACTGCCTGTCGCGAGCTGTCGCAATGCACCTGTCGCAGAAGTTGAAGAAAGTTCAACTTTTGCGACATGCGACACGCGACATACACAAATGGAGTACAGTTTCGACCCTGGGTGCACGTGCAGTGCACGTGCATAGTACTACTTGTGCATGAGGATGTCGCAAACATGAAGGATATTGTGAACCGTGTGTCCCTGTCGTAGCTCGTCGCATGCGTCGCAAGTCGCATGTCGCGTCGCAGAAAGTTGTATTGTGAATCGGCCTTCAAAGTTCAACTTTTGCAACATGCGACGCGCGACATACATGTACGCAAATGGAGTACAGTTTCTACCCTGGATGCACGTTCAGTGCACGTGCATAGTACTACTAGTGCATAAGGATGTCGCAAACATGAACAGATTGTGAAGCGTGTGTCGCTGTCGCAGGTGTCGCATGTAGCGTCGCAAGAAGTTGTATTGTGAATCGGCCTTTACACGTGCCACTACATACACCTTCACGTAAACACAATCCACATGGTATGCATATCATTTTTTTTTGTCGGATCTGGATAAGAAGAACTCCAGATACTGTAAATATACAAATTTTCGGTAGCTATTTAATTTCGGCTATATTCGGCACCGACCCAAAACGCCTAAATTAAAACGCCGATGAACTTTTTCACAGCATCTGTCGCACTATACCATGCCCTCTACCCCACGCCGAAAATAAATCGCCGCCGAAATGTCAAAAATCGTGAAGTGCCGAAATTTTGCAGTGCCGAATTTTTGTATATTTACAGTAAGACAAAGAAGCTTATTCACTGGACTGACTCACGACTGCAATATTCGTCAACTTATTCAGTCCCTTGAAGTTCGTCCTAACGAGGATTGACTGTATAAGCAGCTTTCTCTTGCTTGCATGTGTAGCAGGCTTGGTCCGACATTCCTTTCCTTCAGTGTCTGGAGCCTCTTCCTTGGGCCTTTTCCCCTTTTGTTGTGGTGTGCATTGTGGGGCTTGCTGGTTCCAAATACTGTCGTGGACATGGAAATCCGGTCGCACGTCTAGCGGCCCCAGGGTGCTGGCCATGCAGCCGTAGCATTGTACTATTATGCGCTGCTGCTGGTCGCATCGGATCAACATGTGCACTGCATGCAACGACAAAAGTTCTGTGCGCGCTGAGGGCACCGGCCCCAGGCGCGTGCGCCGGTGGCCTTCATGGGGGGGGGGGGGGGAGGGGGGAAAATTTTCAAAAAATGAAGCAAAATCTTGCATTTTGAGCGAAAAAAAGGGGGGTTCCGGGCACCCAGGAACCCATACGGGGCACGCGCCTGGGCCCCGGTCAATCGACTGGACTTCCATGTCCGCTACAGTACTAGTACTGTAAAGCACAGTAAAACCTGTGACTAACGACCACCCGTTGGGGCCAGAGAAAGCGGTCTTTACTGGCAGGTGGTCCTTAGTTAGAGGTTTGCACCGCGCAACCATAATTGAACGCGAGACTGTCCGTGCCTGGCGAAGTGGTCTTTAGTAGCAGGCTGGTCGCTAGTCACGGTGGTCTGTAGTACCAGGCTGGTCGCTAGTCACGGTGGTCTGTAGTACCAGGCTGGTCGCTAGTCACGGTGGTCTGTAGTACCAGGCTGGTCGCTAGTCACGGTGGTCTGTAGTACCAGGCTGGTCGCTAGTCACGGTGGTCTGTAGTAGCAGGCTGGTCGCTAGTCACGGTGGTCTTTAGTAGCAGGCTGGTCGCTAGTCACGGTGGTCTTTAGTAGCAGGCTGGTCGCTAGTCACGGTGGTCTTTAGTTACAGGTTTTACTGTACATTATATCGCGAGAGCGCCCCCGCCTTGATTTTACAGCCAAGGGAAGAAAAGTCGTACGGCAGTGTGCTACTAGTACTAAGTTTGTACGATGTGAGAACCTTACAGTAGAGTCACACGTCCAAGAACATTGTTTCCAAGAGGTTAGCCTGGGGCGTTCTTAATTTCTTGGGCAATCTGGCTTCGTTCTTGAAAACAATTCGTACTGGATCTATCCCAAAAGCTGCCGGAAAACCAAGACAACGCTCTTAGCTTTAGACCGTGGCGTTCTTAGCATTAATATTTTCAGGCTGGACGTTCTTGGATTCAACGTTCTTCAGCGCGCGACTCTACTGTGGTGCACTAAGGTCAAACTATGTCTTGGCCCTGTTTTTTTTATGTGGAGCTTGCATCCGCTGGAATGTAAACTGGGTACGGGTTGACTGCACAACATGCAATGTGTGTACACGGTCCGTGTCGTATGACCTACAGACAGGAAACCACCTCCACAAGGCGACCACGAAAGGACAAGATGGTGGGGCGCTCTCGCGCTACTTTACGGTACTAACAGGGAAGGGGAGCCCAAACCGGTATGACCCCCCCCCCCCTACCTATAGTAGACTGGTGCGTCCAAGAACGTTGTTTCCAAGGGCTTAGCCTCGGGGCGTTCTTATTTTTCAGCAATCTGGCTGCGTTCTTAAAAACAATTCCTACTGGATTCTGGTAATGATACATATACCAGTACGGTAGAGTCGCGCGCCGAAGAATGTTGAGCCGAAGAACATCACGGCCTAAAGTTAAGAACGGCGGCATTGGTTTTCCGGCAGCTTTTGAAATACATAATATTATGATCCAATACGAATCGTCTCTAAGAACGTGCTATAAGAACGCAGCCAGATTGCTGAAAAATAAGAATGCCCCAGGCTAACCCCTTGTAAACAACGTTCTTGGACCCGCGACTCTACTGTACATAAACGGTTTGAAAAAAATGTTATTAAATATGACATGTTATTATAACGAGTCGCAGATTTAACGATTGTCCAATATCCATAGGTTAGCGAGAAGATACGATAATGATCTTGCCGTCTTCAGGCATATCCGCACATAATACATAATTATGAGGGCTTACAGCCTCAGCAGAACTTATTATAACGAAGACATATGTGTGTTGTTGTTCATGGCCGCACGCTCGACTGCATTTTGCTACTCTTTCGTTTTCCCTCCCCTTATTTTTATTTATCGCCGTGGTTGGCAATCACCCACTCTCTTTTAAAACATTGGCCGGTGTTTCCACCGAGTCTTGAGATGTTGTAATAAATATAAATTTCCCAGTAGGCCACGCCTGCAAAGAAAACGAACTGGCCGCAACACAGATTTGTGAAATCATTCCAGCGTCCTGATCATGAAAT